TCTCACCCCGCTATTCTCACCCGGGGTGAGAATAGAGGTGGCCATTGACAATTGATCCTTTGAAGAAACCAGCATCAGCTTTGAAATTAGAGTCACTTGCTAGATTCTAGCAGCTAGCTAGATCTAGCAGTGTAGTCTAGATCTAGATTAGTAGGAGGTTAAATCTAGAGATCTAGATCTAGTTAGTTTTATTATCTGAGTAGATCTAAAAATCTAGATTAGATCTAGATATCTAGATATAGATATAGATCTCTAAATCTAGATCTAGATCTAGATCTAGATCTAGATCTACTGGGGCAACAACACTTCCTGTTTCCTTGCATCCCTGCATCTCATCCACCACAGTAGCCACAATACAATTCAGGAGATACTCTGCCTACCTAAAATGGTCTGCAGAACAGAACTGTTCTGTAATAGCTTACAATAACTAGATTTCTAGGTCTAGATTAGTTATCTACATTGTAAGTAAGTTTTCTGTCACCAAATGCTACAATACAAAGACCGTTGTAACCCTCCCCTGAACGATGGAGTCGACAAGTGCATCACATCAGTCAGTCACTCATCAGTGCGACGAAAGAAAAACAAACTACAAACCATCATTTGCTCCAATATTGGTGGCATTTTCACAATAAAAAAGTTTGTGAATGTTCTTTCGAGATAAAGACTGATGACCTACCTTTACATGCACTGATCAGAAAGTATCCAAACGGGGTAATGTCACTGAAGGACAAGTCGACAACGGGACGTGTATGTCCACTGCAAGTTAACGGAGTCTGCCTTGGGCCGGCCATATTTCTTTATCAACGCTCTTCACAACTAGGCACACAACTGTCACTGTCAACCATGCTTCGTTTCCGAAATTACTTTTTCTAGAAAGCCAATTGAAATGTGATTTGAGAAAAACCCGCTAAATTAATACTAAATCAGACATTGTCACTATATTTGCTTTCAATGTTGCTAGTTTTGTTTCATTTTATCTAAAATAGACTCTTCTATCAATTTTCTTCAAAATCAAATGCTCAATATCACTTCTGAGTATGAAAAGTAAGTAAGTTCACTCTGTGGCTGACGTGTTATGAACAACGTTAATAATTCTCCTGTCATTCCTTACCTGGATATACCAAGGGTAGACCACTCCTGTAATATGCCAGGTAATTAGTTTGCCAAGCTGCGTTTTGCAAGGCTAATACATCAACGTTGCTTTGCCAAAATATTACTTAGATATGAATGCACTGAAATAGTCAAAATGTACTGCACAATAAAAGCCTATTTTTTACATTTTCAAATGGCACGTTTTTAACAAAAAACAGTAACAAACACAGCATTAAATACATTTAATGCGTAATAGGATGTAGGACACTACTGATGCAGAGATTCTTGAGTCCGATTATATCAATAGTCTGCCATGCATCGATGACAGAAGACTACATTCAATAGATTTCTAGTTAATAAAAAGTACAGAGATCTGCATTAGTCAACTTTAAAAAAAGAGCAGACAATGCGGATATTGAGTTACGTAGCCTAGCTGATTTTTCGGGGTTTTAAAAATGGATTTGATTAAATTTTTTTGTTTTTTAATTTGCCGTACTCGTACTTTCTTTTTGTCTTTTTTCAAAGAACAAAATAGCAGTTCTTTTTCTTTTCTTTCTCATCAATCGTTCTTTCATAAGGTCACAAATAAGGTCACCAAAGTGAACTTTACTTTATTTTGGTCGTCCTGTACTTGACAAGGGAGCTAATTCGTGTGTTATTTCAGCAAAAGAAAAATTAAAGTATTACTACTTCCCTTAGACCGTATTTCCGTCCAAACAACTTCTGGGCAATAAAAAGCGGGGCTGCAATAAACCAACCCATCAGCAATTAGTACAGCGCCTAGAGCTGTGTTTACTATAGAAAAGATCTTCATTATTATTAAGTACAACAGCAGCAGCA